TATATATATATATATATATATATATATATATATATATATATATATATATATATATATATGTATATACAGTATATGTATATTCCAACAAAACAATGAAATACAGCTCTTTTTTGTAAAAGTAGAAGTTCAGTTATTTTGTACTCTGAAAAGTGTAATATGGACTTCATATATTGCATCAGTGTCATATTCTCATATCACCCAGTATATAATTTTTGATAGCATTACCACTGTAGTTCTTTATGGTACTCCACCAAAAATTAGTTTGCACATTTAGTTCAGTAGGACCAGTGAACAGAGTGCTGCTAAATGTATTAAATGTTAGTTACCTTTTCTAATGTTGCCAGTGTTGCATTGATCCTGTCTGCATTTACACTGCTGCAATGGAGCCTCTTATTCTTGAACAAAAACCTGCACAAATTGAGATTCTGGATAAGAAAATGAATTTGTTCACAGTGCTCACAAACTACAAATCTATTAAAGTACACTTTTGACTAAACCAATCAGATTGTATTCTAACAAGTGAGAATGATGTGAATAGTCATTAGGCAATCCATGACCGCTCATATTAACTATTGATTTTTTTTTTTTTTTTGAAAATTATAAGACCTTTTTGATTTTGTCATCTTTCATATTGACACATAATATACAGTGAAGACATTTTCGAAATTCGAAATAAAAAAAAGTTAGTTTCTTCTAAAAGTTTATTTACTTACACATAGGCCTCAAGACATCGGCCTGATTTCTCAGTATAGGCACACTTCACTACACGGCCTGGTGAAATATATCCAGTACTGGCGTGTACACAGCATGTTGGCAGCTTGTTGTCACTGGAGCGCACTGCAGTACAACAAAATTCAAGGTGTTAGATATACGAACCCTATCATACAAGATGTGCAAATGTAATGCATACACACACAGAAGATTTTATTTTAAGTACATGCTTACTAAGAACACTCACCTCCAAGTACGCAGCTGAACAGAAGTGTGATTATGTAAAAGAGAAAGACCAACTGGCGAGGTGTCAGAGAGAAATGCATCCTTGCTGATGAGGTCTATACCACTGGAGTATGTCTTAACTCTACTGTTCTTCCTTTATACTGCACTTATTCAGGCCAAGATCCTTTATATTGTATCAGAATTAGGGAAGTGCATTTAATCATGTTATGAATAATATAGATGGAATATCTTGCAAACATCTTTGTCACAATGCAGCGTGACACATTCCTTTGCAATCATGCACGATAATCTTCAGGCTAGCTGGCTTAATCACTGTTCTAAATTGATGCTTTAGTTCCTTTATCTACTTCCGGCAGTGCTGTGGACTGATTGTGGTAGTCAGGATTAACACTGGATTTGCAGTGGACTGTGTTTTTGTAATTTTAGTGGATTTCAAAACTAGAAGCTGTAGACACTAGTAGACTGGTTGTGATATTAGATGGGAGGACTGAAATATCTAGAAACAAATCAGCCCCAGCCTCACTTATTCATACCATTCTATATTTTTCTTATGACCAATGGTGTTATTGGTGGTTCAAAAAAAGAAAACCAAAAGAATCTGAACTTAAGATATTTGTTAACAGCAAATGCAGACATCCTTCTAATCTTTGAAATATGTCATCTCATTATGATATAACCACCAGATAAGTAGAAAGTGTGGTCAGGTTTGCTAAAGGTTTTTTTTTTTTTTTCCGAAACCAGCACACTGTGGTTCAACCCAAGGCTTAGCAGTGCAATAAAGGACTCTTAGCTTAAGTGTTTCAAATGTTACTTTTGAGCAAGACAAAATCTTCTATAATATTACTTAATATGTTATTATAAACCATATGGCTAAAAATACACTACATAGCCAAAAGTTTGTAGATACTTGACCATGACCCTTACAGTTGGGGTCATAAGTTTATATACATTTTGGTTTTTTTTAGTACTGCCCTGAATAAGCTATTTCACGTAGCAGATGTGTACATATGGTCCACAAGACACAATAATAACTGAATGCTTGATTCTTAACACTGTGAGTTATCTGGATGATCAATGACTGTTTTTATGTTTTGTGATAGTTTTGAGTCTCTTGTTTGTCCTGAACAGTTAAACTGCCCACAAACTTTTGACTATGTAGTGTATATGGACACCTGACCATGATACCCATATGTGGGCCTTCCCCAAACTGTTGCCACAACAATTGAAACACACAATTGTATAGGATGTCTTCGTATGCTGTAGCCTAGCCCAAATCTGTTCCAGCATGACAGTGCCCCGTGCACAAAGCGAGGTCCATAAAGAAATGGTTTGCCAAGGTTGGTGTGGAAGACCTCGAGTGGCCTGCACAGAGCCCTGACCTCAATCCCACTGAACACTTTGGGGATGCTTGTAATGCTGACTTCTTGTCCGACATCAGTGCCTGACTTCATTAATGCTCTGCTGGTTGAATGGGCACAAATCCCCACAGCCATGTTCCTTCCCAGAAGAGTGGAGGATATTATTACAGCAAAGGGGAACTTAATCAATAGTGGGATGTTCAGCAAGCACATATAGGTGTGAGAGGTCATGTGCCCACATGCCTTTTGTAATATAGTGTATTTAGTATTTATTAAATCAAGTTCAGTTATAGATACTCTACAGCAGTATGACTATTTCTTCTTCAATCCGGATGGGCATGAAAATGAGTTCTGTGGTCCTGTCTTTCATATAATGATTTCATCGTTGATTAGCAGTCTTGTGCTAAAAGGGGAGTGTATAAACCACTTTTTAGTTAATGTTGTCTCAGTGGGAGCACAAACTTCAAAAACTATGAGACCTCCTTTATGGAGATTAAGATAATTTCCCCAGACGCATTGTAATACTAGGACCTTTGTTGGATGCTCAAGGTTAAATTATTAGAATCACTGAGACAGACTAATGTCATGCTTCGCAATGTGGAATTTTTGATTGTACTCTATATTTAACCTCAGAAATTTATTTTAGGGTCTGACAGACACAAGTAGTCTCTGTGACTTGGAGCCTTAGTCATTATCACATAGAGGAACTTCAGAGGAAATCCCCATCAAGACACATAGCTGGTAGGGTATGCTAAAAGATCTAAGACTATATGACACCATTTTTAATCTGTTTCATTTCATAATAATGCTATCTATATCTAGCCTTTGAAATTGTTAAGGAAAGTAAAATAGTAAAAATTTATATAAAAAAGAATATAGATTTATATGATTTATATTGATTTATTATCGAACTGCGTCCCAGGCCTCCTCATTCGACATCAGTTCTCACTAATGCTCTTGTGGCTGAATGGGTAAATCCCCACAGCCATGCTCGCAAATCTATGGAAAAGCCTTCCCAGTAGAGTGGAGGGTATTATAGCAGCAAATTAAATCTGGAATCGGATGTCAAGTGTTATGGTCAGGTGTCCGCATACTTTTGGCCATATAGTGTAACTAGTTTTTCAAATCTCTTGATTGTTATGTATGTTTGTAAGAACTGCTATGGTTACGCATTCTGTCAAAACACTCCACACTTGATGCTAATCTCAAGACATAATGTCATACTATGTCATATGCAGATGTCATAACCCTTCAAATGTGACGATACATCTTTGCTTAAGAAAGTTCACTTCAGTGAAAGAGTTAAGTGTTAGACTGTGCATTATATGGTCATGTGTTTTCTCAGAAAGGCATCTGATGAGGTTGAGGTGATGCATACAAAAGACTAATGCAAATACACACACATCTGCTGGGTATGCTGGAAACCGCAGCTCAGGAAGTTACAGCACTATTAATGTTCTTGTGTATTTCCAACATCCCTGGTAACTGAGTCATTGGGTTGTCAGCAATCTTCCAACTGCAATGTCATGGCAGCTCACTGGATGTCTATATTTCAGTCCAGAATAAATTCTGTATTCCTTTTTTATGTTAACCTGACTCACAAACATTAGTGTCACCGCAGAACATGATGGTGCCATGATAAGCCTGTTTTCACTTAGACGGCACTCGATAGAAACAGGATAGCACTGTAAGTCTTTCGGTTTCAGTTCATAGACTATAAAAATGAGTGAAGGTTTGCTTAACACAATGTGACTGAGGCAAAGACAGGTTGATGATGCCTATATAAAGTTCCAAACCAGTAGCTGTGGCTTGCTGATACTATCACTATGCTGTGCAAGTGCAAAACCAGACTCTGTTTGAGATTCTGTGATGGCAGAATGAATTGCCCACTCTGCTCTGTAGATTACGTCACAAACTTCAAGAAACACTTGAATGAAAGAATGAATTGGTGAATTTATTTCATGATTAAAATAAGTATAATAGTGTACAGACCCCTTGCAAAAAATGGTATCTTAGCAAGTGAATATATCTTGAATAAAGAAAAAGTCATCTAATATTTCTCATTATGAAATTAGTATATAACAAATATAAGACCAGTAAGCCTATTTATAGACATATTGACATATGTTCTAGACTTATGCCAAAAGAATAAGATAATTAGAAGCTTGAAATAAGTAAAAAAAAAAAAAAAAAGCTAGAAATAGGCTTAATAAAAATTAATCTTAATTTTGGTTTATTGTAATCTTATAATAGAAGGATCCCTGGAGGGCTAGTGGTTAGGCCACGGCACTCTCACCACTGTGGCCTGGGTTCAATTCCTAGCCAGGGAACCAACCCGCCAACCAGCCACTGGGGTTGCATGCAGCAGTGCCTCTCAGTGCCAGTCCCAATCCCTGAAAAAAAATGGGGAGGGTTTTGTCAGGAAGGGCATCCGGTGTAAAAACTGTGCCAAATCAAATACACAGACCAGTGATCTGCTGTGGTGACCCCTAAAGGGAGCAGCCAAAGGAACAACATCATAATCTTATAATAGGAAATACTAAATATGTTTGACTTCAAGTTTTTCACTTGATATGATTTCATTTTTTGCAGTGTATCTAGTATATGTATTCTCTATTGCTGTTCCATTACCTGTCAACCTCCCGAAAACATACCGATAGATGGACCCCTGCACTTCCACCCTGACCAAAATATAGCGGTTACAATAGATGAATTAATGTAGCTGTTAACATTTGTCACTATTATTACAAGGTGCTAATAAGATTATGTCATTTTTGGTTTAGCTGACTTCCTTGTGAATCATGCCTGTAGCACTTCTGAGCACATTCTCAAATGTTTTTTCTGTTTTTCTGCCTCTGTATTGCATTTTTTTTTCTCGTCAGTTGTTTAAAATTGAGTATTGCAGCTCTTGTATCACTGACTTTTTAACATCAACATGTCAGATTGTATTCTGCCTAACTTGTAACTTGCTTTGGATGAAAGCTTTGTTAAATTAATTAAAATGAATGTTAGTCACAAACTTAGCATTATGAGGTTTGGTATTAACCAGATAAACCTTATAATAATAAGTTGACAAAATGTAAATGGCATCGCATAATGGACTGTGGACCTTTACAGCAACAGGGGCTAACTGACCTTTTAGTGTAATGTAATAATGATACATTATTGTAAAGTAAAAATAATGCATAAAATGATACATTGTCCTAAATTGTCTCAGCATCTTGTATAATTTGCACTCGACTCATCAGTGAGCATCTGTCAGTCCAAAAGATGTATGAGTGAATATAAAATTAATTTTTGCATGTACTTGCATCATTACAAATATTTACAGTATAATAGAACAATATACTGAAATGTCGTTCTCATTTATATATTACAAATGTTGTTCTTGTTCATAGATTATATTGATTATTATTTGATGTAATTGTTAATTTGATCTAATTTTAGATACATAATCAGAAGCCAGAATCATAGATAAAAGAAAAAAATTTAAGCAGCGCTGTCTTCACTGAGAAGAACATCTGACGCCATCTTGTGAACAAATGATAACACTGCAGATATACAACATGTTCTAAATTTCTCTGGCTATATCTGGATTTCCCAGATATAGGACATAAGAGAAACATCAGAATTCCAGTGGTGTACTGCATATTATGAAAGTACTGAATGTTATAATTCACAAGAGATGGCTTTTTGGTAACCATCTGTAAGTTCTGTGCAGATTGGTGAAATGGAAGCGATCTATGTTCGTAAGCAAAGAACTGGAACTTGGTCACTTGCATTAGTTCCGCTGATTTCACATCAGAAGTTTAATCATGCGAGAGGCAGGATGTTATGACACACACAGGGTTTTTTTTTTGTGCCATTGACTACAGTTGTGCCGTTGACTACATGACATAAAGAGGTCACTTGACAGTGTGAAAAGAAGTAACTGTATTCAATTTGGAATTTTTTTCCATCTTTGGAGAGTTTAACAAACATAGGCCATTCAACCAAAACTGCATACAGAGAAACATTTTATTTATGGTTACAAGTAGGGATTGTGCTGTGATTATCTTACAACCCAACATCACATTTTCAGAGAGGACAAAATCAAATGACCAAATTAGTTTGTTAGGGAAACTGCTAAAATAGCTTTAAATCAAACCTGTTAAGAGGCCGCTTATAAAAATAATATAGAAATACAGTTCCTCAGATTTTCACCCTGATTGTTGGTTGTTATTTAAAAAATCTTGTAGCATATACATTTAAAAATTTATATTAAAAACTTATATTTCTACAGTTCATATTTTACCTTAGAAGTTCATATTTATATGTTGAGAATATAAATTATTGTAGTATGAAGCATATTTAAATGCAAGAAATGAACTTTTTATGTAAGATATTCCTTATGATGGAATAACATCTTACAGGACAAATGTTATACCACTAGTTACATTATGGTGGCTGGTAAGCAGGTATTGTGATGTTAGTAGCAGCTGTACAACTGGCTAAAATGTAACTGAAAGTCATATTATGAGAATAGTAAAGTTTAGTGAAATTTCTGGTACTGGTTTATGTATCATGCGAAATGCAGCTATACAGTGGTACATGTTAAACGTCATATGGCACTACAGAAGACCACAATGACTTTCCCTTCAATGCAGTGACATTTGAGGCTCCATTCAAAAGTTAAGAATGCTCCCTTTCAGCCTTCTATTTTGTTTTCTGATATTTTAAAAATGTGTTATAAAATAGTTAGTATTGATAGTAAAAAAAGATGTGAAAATATGAATTCTGTTTAGACCATCTGGTCACAAACAATTCTTTTCTAATAATTAATCTCAAATAACATACCAGGACTACATATGTATGACACAACTATAACATCTACAAATCTCCTTAGTCAAGAGGCTGAAAAGTTTACACCATGTAATCATGGAATAAATGACACAAAAACATACTGGCACTTTATTGAAAATGTAATGGTACAATTTTTCTAAAGTCACAGTGATACATTAAGCCTTTTGAGCAAGATATACGTTTCCAAAAAAGAATGATGTGGTATTTTTGGCTTTTTACTATTGAGTAAAAGGCTGAAGAATTGTCAGCTGTCAAGGTATAGTCTACACCCCAGAATTACTGCATGATAGGCTTGTAAACAATTAAACAAGTTTTTAGTTTTTCTAAGAAATTGTATCAGAATATGTAGAGATACAATTATTAGAATGGCATGCCCTGTACCTGGAAATGTCATCTATCTGTCATCAGCCCTGCATGCATTTCCTGTGTGCACTGCGAGTGACCACACAGTGACTGTCAGCTTGCAGCCCCTACACAACTACAACCGCAACCAGAAACAGGAAACCAGCACTTACTCAGACACAAAGAAGCTCAGCATCAGAATGCTTAAAAATGTACACAAGTTAACCATACCTGTTGCAATCAGAAAACAAAATATTATAAATCTGTCTATTTATGCTGTAGTTGTTCATATATAGGTTGATAGATTTTCAGAAGTAATTACACTATACAATAAATTTGAGCTTGTGTCCTTGATGATGCTTAGTATAATGGCATTTTTTTAATACATCTGAGTACTGTTGGGTACTTTCCACTTTGAAACACACCTTATGAACAGCAGATTTAGAAATGAGAAATGGTCAAGTACACACACATACATCTGTCTCACTATCCTTATGAGGATCTTCCACTGATATAATTATTATTGCAGCTAATAAATGTCTACATTTAAATGTAACCATAATCTTAACCTCAGTAACCAAAGGAAGCTTTTTGGCCTTTTGGCTTTTTTTGGATTTTTGAAATGCAAGCTGCAGTTTTCCATGTGGGGACTGGCCAAATGTCCCCACAAGGTCAGAACTGTCCAATGTTCCTATCATTGTGGGGTCCCATAACACACACACACACACAGGTGGGCTGGTAAAACAAATGTTTGCCAGTGTTTTAGCAAAGTGATATCTGACTTTCACAAACAATTCTTTTCTACTAATTAATCTCAGTTAAGATACCAGGAATACAGGTACTGTGTTATTTTGACATAAGCTTTATAAATCATGTCAGTCAGAAATTTCATAGTGAAACAAGCTAAAACCTTATACACGCATCTTTAAAAGATAACATCAGAAAGGTGGGCTGGTAAAACAACGTTTACCAAATTTCCACCAAAGTGACATCTGACTCTAGGGTGTGAAGCTTCTGTATCTTAGATTAGGCAGATGGGGGTTGGGGGGGTGCCTGCGGTAGGAAGCTTTGAAGCATTTTTTCCTGTCCTGAGCATGTATAAATTAATACTTGGTGGTCGTTATTGTATTTCACTGATCAGTCTGGTACGGATGAAGAGATGAGAACTGCACTGTTGTGTCTATTTGCTGTGCTGCTCACAGCCACCATCTGCAAATGTGAGGAGCTTTACAGTGTTTCATTTTCTTTTTGTCCTTTTTTTCTTTCTTTCTTTCTTTCTTTCTTTCTTTTTCTACTGTGATGAAACTAAGTGATTTGGGATGATATTTTCTCATTTTTCCCTCCTGTGTTCTTGTCCAAACAGCAACTACAAATCCATGTGTCTGTATCAAGACAAGAAATGTAAGTCTTCATGCCTCAAGAATAAAAAATTACTATATGCAGCAATCAGGCCTCTGCCACATTACAGCTGTCGTGTAAGTATCCTTGCTTCTATGTTTAAAAATTAGTACACTATGTAGAAAGAAACAGTTATTATTATTATTTTTTTTATTTCTGACTAATGACTTGTTTTATATCATTAATGTAGTTTGACCAACTGGCCTTACTAATAGTTAATAGCATCTGCGGGTCCAGACTTATACACATCGCTCTCGTAACTGCATACCTTTCCAATCAGTTTCAATGCAGTTACTGAAAAAATCATAGTATTTGAATCTAAATAGTATGCTTTCAGATTAATAAGTGAGTCAGGAGGTTAAAGAGTTAAACTTTACCTTCACCTAAAAAATCTCCTGGTCATAAGCTAACTAATTTTTTTTTTTTTACTTCTGTGCATTTAAAGATTGAAGACTGTGAAAGGACATACAGTGTGTGCAGACCCAAAGAATCCCAGGGTTATTAAAGCCATGAAATTAGTGGATGCCAGAAGGAGGACTGGTTCCACAACAGCAAGTCCAGTATCTACTGCTTCTGAGCGCACAGTGATTACAACAGGTGGTTTATACAACATAAGCTAAACCGCTCCACAGAATCAGAATATCTTTGTTATGTGTTATTTGTTATGTGTGATCATTGCCTGGAATGTATTTAATGTTTAATCACTGTGGTAACAGAGGCTGAAAGAAGTAAAATAGACTTCTGTATT